GCCGAGGGGAGCGGGGTGGGCGCGGGGAGGCTGGGCTGGGGCTCGCCGGCTTTGCGCCGGGTCGGCAAAGTGGGTCGACTTTGGGTTTAGAGCAGGGCAGGAGGCGGCTTGGAGTTCTCCCGGGCTTCTCAGGAGCCTGCGGTACCCGCAGAGCCCAACCCCGGGGGAAAAATCCATGAGGGAGGCAGCAAAAAACAAAAACCAATCTGCAAAATGTTTCCCTCTGTCGGGAAGAGCCAGATTTGTCCTGGCAGCAAGAGGGGTCTGCAGGGACGTAAACCCCTGTTCAGAGGTGGGACAGGAGCCAGTTGGGGAGTAACACACACACACACCCCCACACACCCCCTCAAGGACTTTCCCTGCACAAAATGCTGTCCCCGTGTCCCTTGGGAGGACGTGGGCAGCGGTCGCTCGGCCCAGTGACCGCCTTGACTGCGGGAACGGGATTAGCGGTGACAAAATGATCTCTTTATCGGCAGGATAAACGCCTTAGGGCCGGGGCCGAGGTATGTCAGCTGGGGATTAGCCCCCACCCAAGCCCAGCCGGGCTAATAAGCTGCCTGGGTGTCAGGTAGCCCAGGAGCATCGCTGGCAACCTCTTGCTGCCGTGGTTGCCACGGTGGCTGTGCCAGGGCTGAAGCAAAGCGCCTTGAACTAACGGCTGGGCGTTATCCTTCCCCCTCGCAGGGTGTTGGTATGGCCAGCCCCCGGCCTCCCAAATACCTCCTCGTCTTTGACTTCGACGAGACCATCATCAACGAGAACAGCGATGACTCCATCGTCCGGGCGGCGCCGGGGCAGGCGCTCCCCGAGCACATCCGACAGACCTTCCGCGAGGGCTTCTACAACGAGTACATGCAGCGCGTCCTGGCGTACATGGGGGACCAGGGGGTCAAGATGGGGGACTTCAAGACTGTCTACGAGAACATCCCCCTGTCCCCCGGCATGCCAGACCTCTTCCAGTTCCTCTCCAAAAACCACGAGCTCTTCGAGATCATCCTCATCTCGGATGCCAACATGTTTGGCATCGAATGCAATCTGAGGGCAGCCGGTTTCTACTCCCTCTTCCGCAAGATCTTCAGCAACCCGTCCAGCTTTGACAAGAGGGGGTACTTCACCTTGGGGCCCTACCACAGCCACAAGTGCCTTGACTGCCCGGCCAACATGTGCAAACGCAAAATCCTAACCGAGTACCTGACGGAGAGAGCCCAGGAGGAGGTGGAGTTCGAGAGGGTCTTCTACGTGGGAGATGGTGCCAATGACTTCTGCCCTTCCGTGACTTTGACTTCAGCTGATGTGGCTTTCCCGCGGAAGGGCTACCCCATGCACCGGATGACCCAAGAGATGGAGAGGAAGCAGCCTGGAGCCTTCCAGGCCGCTGTTGTCCCCTGGGAGTCAGCTGCAGAAGTTGCCCGCTATCTCCAGGAGGTCCTCAAGAAGAAGTGTTGAGGGTGGCTCGGAAGAGACTTGCTTACTCGAAGCAGCTGGGA